CTAGATAGATAGATAGATAGATAAATGGATAAATAGATAGATACACGATAGATAGATGGACAGATGGAGAGATGGATAGATTAATTTAGATAGATTGATCGATCCATAGATAGATAGATAGTATATAGAGATATACTCGTAGAGAAAGAGACAGATAGAGATAGAACTAGATAGATATAGATAGATATAGAACTAGATAGGGATAGATAGAGATATATAAATATAGATTTAGATATAAATAGATTTATACATATATTTATAAAAATAGATTTATACATATATTTATATATATAGATATAGACTGATATAGATATATATATATATATATATATTGATATATATATATAACTATATATATATATAAATATATACATATAGATAGATATAGATAGATAAAGATAGATAGAGAGATAGATACAGATATAGATGGATATAGAGATCCATATAAAGATAGATATAGATAGATATAGATAGAGATAGATAGAGATAGATAGAGATCCATAGATAGATAGATAGATAGATAGATAGATAGATACATAGATAGATAGATAAATAGATAGATAGATAGACAGATGGATAGATGGATAGATGCTTAGATGGGTAGATAGATAGATAGACAGATAGATAGATCGATAGATAGATCGATAGATAGATCGATAGATAGATCGATAGATCGATAGATCGATAGATAGATTGATTGATTGATAGACAGACAGACAGACATACAGATGGATAGATAGTCAGATAAATAGATAGATCGAAATGTAAATAATGATATGCCGTTACACTTCAAATGTACAAGACTGTGTAAATAAACTGTTTCAGAAAAGTGTTCTGCATGACTGCATTTCCATGTGTTTCGACATCATCACCATTAACATGCGTGTGAGCATTCGGGTTCGTGGGCTGCATCTTGTTTACTACTACTACTACTAACTTGTAAATAACTAGGTCAATTTTACATGGATACTTTAATCCTAACTAGTCTTTTGGTATGAATGGGAATATCTACTAACCAGCAAAGAATTTTCAATTTTTTGCAGGGTATCTAAGATTGGTATAATTTTTGAACATTATAAGAACTACCATTTGGTATCTATAGGTACAATCTATACGTATACTACATCTAATATGTCTTTTTTACTACCATGTTTCTTGGGGACCATTCGACCAGGTGCCGTTCGACGATCTTCTGTGGCGACTCTTTGGAGCGGGGGGGCGTTTTTTCGGAGAAATCCAGGGATGAAAAACGTGGAAAAACGTCATGGACTTTAATGGAAAATGGTTTGGATTTCATTGTGATAAATAGGGAAATGGATGGACATGGGATTTAGCTGTTTCTTTTTTGGTGATTTAATGATTGAATGGTGAGTTTGCCCATGCTATTGCTATTTTTTCAGGGAATTATGATGTGGGATTTCTCTTGAATGGTGATTGATTGAAGGGTGGTTACCCTTTGGCATTCAAAGGTGGTTTGCGGGAATTTACTTGCGAAAAGCATCGAGAGATCACCCATTCGCCATGGGGATATAATCCACAGCAACCAAGTCCATGGCCCTGGGTATCCCTGATGCTCCAAATATTTTCTAACGTTTGGTGTTTAGACCCCAAAATGCAGTCTCACAAGTGTTTAGAGCTCTAGGATTTCTTACATCATTGTTCATCTTTTTATAGTCGGACAAATCTTCCAATTCTAGTTGAAAGGCAAAGCAAAAACCATTGGGTACAGCGATCCCTCTACCCTCTGGTAATCAAACATGCCTGGAAACTCCACCAGTTAGTTGGATGTTGTTCCCATTCGAAGCCTATTAAATACATATATATATATATTATATATATATTATATATATAATATTTATTTATTTAAAAACATAGGAAAATTCATGGATTTGCCAGCCATGTTGATTACCAGAGGGTAGATCATCCTTTTTAGAGGCTTACAAATTTGTAAGCCATGCACCATGTCCTCCAATCCCTGGACTCTGAATTTGATCCCCTACCCGTATGGCATGTGTGCCGCTGCTGAGAAATTCAGGGTGATATCCCTTGCGTCTGATCCTGAGAGCTAGATGAACCATTAACCCAAAGCCCGACACCCCGGTAGCGCTATGATCTTCATTGCTCCATCCCCTGGTTCATCGTCATTTTACTAGCTATCCTTATTATGAGTATACTAACCACAAGCAAATATTATAGCTATTTAAAAATCTAGTAGAATATCGATTAACAGTTCCATAATTTCTGTTTTATGCCCATTTGTTGAGATCACGCCTCACTGGTTGGTGGCTTAGTTGCCACGATCCGACTATGCCATAGACTCCACTCTGATACTTTCAAGAAATATACAGTATATATATATATATATATGTATATACCATATATACACCATATAAAATTATATATATATACTGTATATACCAGTAGTAGTAATAGTAATAGTAGTAGTAGTAGTAGTAGTAGTAGTAGTAGTAGTCGTCGTCGTCGTAGTCGTGGTGGTAGT